TAATTGAATTTATTACAATAAAGAATATGGTTCTTTGTTCGGGGGATTGTTTGGAATGAAAGCTCGTTGTTGATTGTAACAGTTTCTGAAAACATAAAATGAAAACATAATTTTGAACGCAAAGTTGAGGTTAGTTAAAATTATAAACTATATTGAGGAAATAATCGAGGTAAACAAACAATAAAATGGTCATAACGTAAGTAAATAATAACGCAACAAATTGCTGAACAATCCAGGGCAAGTTTGGCTAGAAGCTGAGTTTGCCAGAGCTCGTCGACTCCGGTCCTACTTAAAAGGTCCAAATTTTATGCACACGGGATAAGTATGCTCCGTAAAAAAATCTTTACAATTATCGAACAATAAAGAATGTAGCAACAACAGAGCAAAGTTACGCTCTAATTGTATTATCTCATTCAAGATAATTTTCATTTGATATTTTGTTCATAATTATGAATCTGAAATATAGACTACGAGTAGAGTCGAGGTTTCTGCCCCTTCGTGATACATAGTAACATATATCAACTTTTACTACCCTTTATTTTTTTGCCCTTAAATTTACGTTGAAACATCACCACAATGTCAACCAATGCATCCTTGAATCTTGTATATGCCTCAACCCTTCTCAAAAAATTTTTTTATCGCATTTTCTCATTCATGAAAAAAATCACTATTGTGCTCGCCATGTCCGTCTGTCCGTCCGTTTGTCTGTCTGTCTGTCCGTCTGTCTGTCCGTCCGTGACTTCACGTTTTTGTCGACGAGAAAATGCGCTCTCTGTCACTCACTGCAGTGAGTACCGAGTTATATTTTTTTTAAATAACGTCTTTGCATGCGGTGTAGTAGCGGGCAGGAGCTGGAGATATACAGTGAAGTGCCATGCCTGGGGATATTATCTCCCTGGAACAGAGCTGTTAAAACAGCCATTGCGCTGGTGCTGGCGCCCGCGTATCGCGCTCGTGCAAACAGCAAAACAGAGACGTTCGTTCCAGACGAGGCTCTGAAGAGCGAGGCATACGAGCTCGCTGTGCATGTTCGCTTAGCTACACCTTAGTTTATTACCGCTGTCTTATCGTAGTTTGTTATGATGAATTTAGTCAGCTACACTGTTAGAAAAAACGGTGAAAAAACTGCCCCACTGGCGTTCTAGTGGCCGGTCGCCCCGTAAAAATAAACTGTTTCTCTGTTTTTATCAGATGTTTTACGGATTTCTAGTGCTAAATTAAAATAAAAAAGACGACACGGTGTTTCTTTTCACGTGCCGACCGGCCACTGAAACGCCGGTAATACCGTTGACGGTAATTTTTCTAACAGTGTATATTTAATATTTCACTGTCAACATTTAGTCTGCTATATAAATGCACTTCCTGAATAATTTAGTCTGTACGTGTTACCGTCACTGACACGTATCAGAACTTTGAAAGACTTTCGGTCTGCCAGATTTTTCGACCATTTGATAAAGGTTTGCAATATTTTGTACTCGGATATGATTCGACAAAAAACAAATTGCATGAAAGATTCATGAAGGGTATTCAAATCATTCATATTTTCATTAAAACGCCATTTATTTAGAGCATGCATTTAGTTTTGTTCTTTGATTTTTCCAGCACTTTTTCTGATATGCAAGCTGATGGAAAATTCCCACTCAAATAGAGTTTCATAAATGTATGTTTTTTATTATTTTTCGTCAGCGTTTGGACTGGATTAACTGTTATAATTAAAATAATTTGCGTCTGTTTCCCGTTTAGTTCAAACAGAGCGTGGGATGTATAAGAATAATTCATTCCTGCTTGATTAATGGATGATCCCCTTCATTCAGTGGACTCTGCATAGTTTCCATAAAGTATTCGTGTTTTGGTCTTTTTTTTTTTGTCATAAAAACTGATCGAAGACCGGATCGCTGATATGCTATCTACGATCTATTTTTAGTATTTTTTAACTTTTTGTGTCACATTAAAAGAAATTTTTGGAGTTTTTTTCAATTACTCATGCTTCATTTCAAATAACTCAATGAGCAACTAGCATTAAATTTCTTGTAGTATCACCATGGAGTTTTGTATTTTTACTTCACCCCACTTTTAAACACCATTTTCTATTACATAAGTTCAACAACTCACACCTAATTTCAAAAGAAGCCAGTAAGTTAAGCGATCGTATTTGAACGAAGACATTAAAATGAATTTCACATAGAGCTTTTAAACATCATTTTCTATTACATGAGTTCAACAACTCACACCTAATTTCAAAAGAAGCCAGTAAGCTAAGCGATCGCATTTGTACGAAGACATTAAACTGAATTTCACATAGAGCTTAGGTTTCAGGTCAAGCAATCACCTAAGAAAACACAACCTTTTCAACAAAAACGCAGCGATGTAACAATTTTGCATATAAGCCGTCAATGAGAAAAGGTTTATAATGCATGATGTTTTTTTTTTTGCATAGCAAAACTCTTGTGTTACAGTTGAACACAATACCAGCGCCCCGTTCACTTTGCTTCCTGAAGAACTCATTGCACTTGCCAAAGGATGCAGCGATTCAGAGCAAAGATGGCGACTGCAGGATGGTAGCCAGACCAAGGATATTCTGCCTCGTACAAGCGTCAGTTACATGGTAATTTACAGCCATCATTACGGTGGGGAAACTCGTGCCACTTTACTGCAATGGCCCTTCTATTTTGACTCTGGCTGGAGAAGGCGCATTTTGCGACCTAGCCGCACCTCTATCCTGCACATCCTAATCTATTGAATGACCCCGCCACGACACACACACAAATGTGTTCTCGCTCCAGCAAACACAACGAAAATCCCGCACCCTGGATGCAAACAAGACCCCTCCAATCCCGACAGGAGTTCAGAACCGAACCTGCATTGCACGACATCGCTATTACCACAGGTCGTGTGTGACCTTCCGCGCAAAGAACCGTCGAAATTCGCGGTGAGTTGTGTCAAATTCGATGTCCATTTCCTCTTTATTTATATATCCGATGGTGATTTGCTTTTAGAAAGAGGAAAATAACTTTTATCAGCATGTTTGCCACGGCTTTACTTCTACAAAGAAGAATTTTTTATTTGCATGCCTATCTTAGCTTTGTTTTTAGAAGGAATGTTATTCCTTTTCACTTCAGGAAAGTGGTACATTTTGTTGATATATACGTAGAAGTGACAACATAGAGGTAATCAAGAATTAAAATGTATGGACAAATGATATGTTGTCTAAATGTTATCAATCATTGCATTTGTAGTGCTGTTTGATTACGTCTTTTTATTTCAGCGGTAATGTATTCTCAAAATTATAATGCAAAATAACTCAAACCATTGCTTAATCTAATTTATTGAATGCAGTGAATCCATGTAATTTGTTTTAATAAAATCCAGCGCCTCCGTATAAAAAACGCCCCAGGCGCCCGCGTTGAAGCGAAGCATCAACGATACGGAAGCTCATGATTAATAGATCAGGAAAGCCAAAAGCCGTTCTTGTTTTCCTTGTCTTAGCAAAATGAAAATTGAGAACGGCTCATTAAGGCAGCCTGGTCGTCCATCATCGTTTTTCAGGGGCGAGTATCGTCTCCTACATGAGACTCTGCTCTGCACGTCATATCTAATGCAGGTCAGGATTAGGACAGGTACTAAACTAATGGTCTGACATGATATAGGAGTTAGATGTAGGCTAAATATTCTAATTTAATATTAGCATCACTTAAGGTGCAAACTAAATTTTGTGCTGTTGCCATATGAATAATTTTTGACAGGAATGACTAATGTGGTCACGAGTTCGTCATATTCAGGTTTATAGAGTTTCATCTATTCTACCGTCATTTACACATCACTTTGAATGATCTATTTTATCGTCATGTAAACGTCACGTGTATTAAGTTGCTGTATCATCTTTATAACTTTAATGCGTATGTTGCAAATATAATGAATTATTACATGATCAACTAATTTAACATAAACCTCATTTGTTCGCCAGAGCCTAATACAAAATTAAATGTTTGATATTTATTTTCAGACCACTTCTGATAGTTACCTTCCTTATTTAGTCACAAAACTTAAATTCCCGAATAACTTTGAAAAACTGTAATCCGTATTTAAATCGCCAGCATTACCACCAAGCAATCCAATCACTCCCAGCAACTTTGAGCTCCACGCTAATAACTTTCATGCAATGTTTCACGAATTTTCTAACTTATTGCATGTCGTAAGCGCTGTCGATTTTTCCGTGGAGACTTGAAAGTTGTTCGGCAGGCGCTGCGCATAACACGACTTTGTCACTCATTAGATATGCATGAAGCTGCGAGAAAATCAGGTTCTAGGCGCGTCAAGTTAAAGAATGTCCGATTCAGTACACTCAGAGAAATAAGTGGGACTTCCAAATAGAATTTCAAATAAAAATAGTCCCTAATTGTCTAAATAGCGATGCATTTTTAGGCCATGCGTGGGCCAAATCTTGATCCACTTTCAACCGGCAGAAGTCCATATTAGTGCCACGTCAGATCACTGCTTTTGCTGTGGACTAGAAAGTATGTCACTATTTGTACAATGTGTCCCATTTATTTTTTTCAGTGCCTGAGAAGTTTTCGCGTCCATTTCCGGATAAACTCAATCTTGTCGAACAAATTACGGACGCTTGACGCAAAGACGAATGTGAAATTGGACTGCGTGCATAGGAATTGAATTGAAAGAAATTTGGTTATATCGTAAGTAAACAAATTACGGGTCACAATATATCCTGCCATGGGATCAACTGAGTAATTTTTGTAAATTAAATGTTTTTATTATGTTTAATTTTTAATTAAAGCGTTTATTGAGTGCATGATGTTTACAGGAGCGATACAAGGACAGCGATACCGTCGTCCTATTGCATTTTTATTTTCGTTTTCATATAAAAAGATATTTTTATAACAGAACGATCAAATTCTCTGAACGAGTTCGATGGAAAATTTACGACTAGGTGGAACAAAATAAGTCATTGTCACCTGAATCCCCAGGATATTTATTCTCGATCTCTATTTGCTGAAGCGTTGGTGCGACACCTCGTCCATCACACGCCGCTGTGACACCTGTGAATAATTCTAACCAGCACTCAGAAAAATAACGTGACATCTGTGAAAAATTCTAACCAGCACTCAGAAAAATAAATGCATCAAATTGTCCAAATAGTGACGAACTTTCTCATACACAGTACAAGCAGAGAGCAGATGAAGCACTGATACGTGACTTTGCGGGACCAAAGTGAGTCAGGATGACTCACACAAGGATAAAAATATATTATGTCATAAAATATTTTATATAAAATATTTATAAAGAAATTAATATTTCATCTCAATTAAGATAAAATCTCACATATTTCTCTGAGTGAGGATATATCTCATCATCCATATTCAGATGACAAAAGTTTAAAAAGAATCATTAATTCCATTCAAAACCTGAGCGTACCGCTCTCTCTATCGCTAGAAAAAATGGCGGGGCATCGTTTTTACAGCGCAATGAATTTCATGTGTTCGAGTGGAAAGATCAGTTCGTGCACCGAGACAAATGAGTGGGTTGTCTTGTCCAAATTGTGACACTTTCAGACCCAAAGCACGAGCAGAGAAGTGAAATAAAAAATATACGCATTTTTACCGGACAAAATTGGCACGAGCATAGAAGTGAAATAAAAAATATACGCATTTTTACCAGACCAAATTGGGTCAGAATCAAACACACATGGGCAAAAAGTGTATCGATATTTGGACAGATTCCCACTTATTTCTCTCAGAGCGTTGCCGTAATCCCGCGGGCTGCGTTTAATCGCGCTACGCAGAAAAGATGGCATCGACATAAACCTTGGCACTGTCATTTGTTTAACAAGAAATATATTTGCCATCACAAGCGCCAGATCTCATGGTAACTTGTATCACTGACTTGCAATAAGCTAAGTGCTCAGATTTATTACAACTATTGTTCTAAGTTCCAAACTTTATTCGTGAACATTCAAGTGTTGCGCATGATTTTATTTTGGATCTGATGGCAATATTGGGCAAGACTCAAACCTTCATATTTTTTGTTTTAGTTTTATCAATTTTCGCTCATCTCGTCTAATATTTTTGTGTTTCTTTGCGTTTCTTCATGCTTCTTCGCGTTAAATGTGTTGTAGATTTCATTGTTTCTCGCAAACGTCATGAGGCGAGTTCTGAATGGCCATAGCTTTGCCTTCATTATTACTTCTTTACAATTATTATTGTATAAAAAGATTATCGTGGTGTCTGTTTCAACCAAAATTCAAGACCACGTATACCTATCGAAAGAGTGATAAATAAGTTTAATGGTTGGCATAAAAAAAGCCATCAGAACACCCGGTCAGAATGAACGTTCCCCGATCATTCATGACCCCAAGCCGTGCTTTAGACGGGTTCTATAACACAAATAAAAGTTCTGTCCGTGGTCAGCACTGCTCCAGACGGGTTCTATTATAAACATAAAAGTTCTGGTAGCCGTGACCGGGGCTACAAAAATGCCACCCCGCGGTGCCAGCCGCATTCTCATCGCCCATAAAGGTTAAAGCGAGCAGCACGGACCTGAAATAAACATTTATGATGTGCCCCCTTCCTAGGGACTTGTTTTTAATAATAAGAGTTAAATTAATGGCGTAGTACCTCTCATTTTTAATTAGCAACTTCATCGTATCCGTGGAGGCGGGTGGAGCTGAGTGTATTGCAGCGTAGAAACACGGAGAAAACCCGTGCTGAGGGATGCTCTTTTCTTATTAAACTTTTAATGTCGTACAGTTAAGTCACCGGGATTCATGCGATGAACTTTACTTTTATTATCGAGACTCAAGAGGACTTTTCCGTTTGAACGTCATAAATTGATTAACTCTGTGGTTTTTGAAGTGTTTAATATAAGTAGATTCTTTAATTTTACGAACAAATCCTATTACAGCAACAAAATATTTTCTTTGGGAATTATTAATTGAAGCAAAGTGACAAATTTAAAGAAAAGTGGCCAAACAAAATCAACGCCGAGAAATCAGAACTGTTCAACATGCAGATCAATCGTCCGATCAACTGTTCAACAGCGTTCTAAAGATTCAGTTGCATAAGTCACTACGCCTGAGCGATTGTCGTTTGCAATCAACCGGACTGATTAGTAGCCACTGCAGTTACTGAGAACAGCGATTACGATAGAACTAATGGACCTAATTTAGTTCGAAGTAACAGACCTGATTCAGTTTAAATTAACAGACCTGATTAGTTCTCCTGACATGAGAACATTATAGGATGGCTAAGAGCAGACCTTGACGAGATAATAGCAACTTTGCGTGCACAACGCTACTGAGCCCTCATTTACCCTCTTGCGGTTACTCTTTTTCCGAGGGTAACCTTCATTTACCCTCTTGGGGTTACTCTTTTTCCGAAGGTAACCTTCATTTACCCTCTTGCGGTTACTCTTTTTCCGAGGGTAACCTTCATTTACTCTCTTGGGGTTACGTTTTTTCCGAAGGTAACCTTCATTTACCCTCTTGCGGTTACTCTTTTTCCGAGGGTAACCTTCATTTACTCTCTTGGGGTTACTCTTTTTCCGAAGGTAACCTTCATTTACCCTCTTGCGGTTACTCTTTTTCCGAGGGTAACCTTCATTTACCCTCTTGCGGTTACTCTTTTTCCGAAGGTAACCTTCATTTACCCTCTTGCGGTTACTCTTTTTCCGAGGGTAACCTTCATTTACCCTCTTGGGGTTACTCTTTTTCCGAAGGTAACCTTCATTTACCCTCTTGCGGTTACTCTTTTTCCGAGGGTAACCTTCATTTACTCTCTTGGGGTTACTCTTTTTCCGAAGGTAACCTTCATTTACCCTCTTGCGGTTACTCTTTTTCCGAGGGTAACCTTCATTTACCCTCTTGCGGTTACTCTTTTTCCGAGGGTAACCTTCATTTACCCTCTTGGGGTTACTCTTTTCCGAAGGTAACCTTCATTTAACCTCTTGGGGTTACTCTTTTTCCGAGGGTAACCTTCATTTACCCTCTTGGGGTTACTCTTTTTCTGAGGGTAACCTTCATTTACCCTCTTGGGGATACATTTGTCCCTTAGTCCTGTATCCTTGGAGCTCGGACCTACGGCACGCTTAAGAGCCTCCTCATTTTCACCTTCATCACTCCAATTATTATTGATCTTATTTGTACACTTGCTGTGAATTATTATAAGATGGCAGAATTTTCTTGTTTATATGCGTACAATGTATGACCAGAGAATGCATTATAATTTTCAAGGAGTCGAACAATTCTTTAGCTAACGTTGGTAGATCAAGAGGCAGATTTTGCAAATAATAATAATATATTAACGACGTTTCGAATTTAGCGGCATTCATTTTCAAGTTAAGAGAAGCATTTAATAGTGAAAGTTTGTCGGACATTGGACTTTGAATTATTCATGTCCTGATATTTTGATGACGCATTTACATGCCCTTGCAGCTGTATATGCACGGACTAGATGCTCCTTGTGTCAGTAAATAACAAGTAGCTTTATGTTATCAAAGTCAGTTTCGATAGATTGACCAAACGATCAGTTTTAATACTTCCTATACATAAATTATAATTTGTTGGTGAGTTTTCTTTGTTTTAAGTATTTGTAAATTGAATCATTTATAAGTTTTTCAACATTTACGTTTTCATCCCTCGCCTTGAATATACTCCCTGAAATGAAGTATAACGAATTAAAGTTAAACCCCACACAATATTTTAATGCTCTCTATTTTAATCTGAACAATTGTAAATGCACTCTATTGTAATCTGAACATATATTTCTCAATAGCTTTATCTAGTCTGTTCTTGAATGCGTTCATACTCGAAGCGTCAACGATGTAACCAAGGAGGCTGTTCCACATGTCGGTGACACGAAGCCAGAAGAAATGTTGCCGCGTGGATAAGTTGCAGAGCAGCTTTTTTAGTTTGTAGCCGTAGCCCCTTGTGTTGGTTCTTGTTTCAAATTCAAGTTATCCTTCTGGGACTCTGTATAAGCCATGGGTGTACTTGTATACTTCAATGAAGTCACCGCGCAGACGTCGATAACATATGTAGGCTTGGAAACCTATATGTTATCGCCATTTTGCCGGTTACTGTCTTTCAAGCTTGGAATTATCTTTGTTGCACGTCTATGAAAACTTTTTTACTAAATTTTTGTCCTCTTAATATTTCGGTGACCATACGGCGTTTCACAACTCTAAGTTTGGGCGCTCGACAGCCACAAACAAGAGCTTATATTGGCTTTTGAATCTAGGATATCGAATGATCATCTGATCAGTCTAAGAAGTTTATTGGATTTATCAGGTTGCGCTTCGATATGCCAAGAAAATTTAAGCTCCTTGTTGACAGTAACTCCAAAATCTTTTTTCACGCTAGACTTTTCAATCATTACTTTTTCGTTGCAACCATGTCTTCTCATACTGTAACCTTGCTGTTCATTGTTCTTTCCTGGGTAAAGTACTTACACTTGTCTATATTAAATCGCAGCTGCCACCTAAATGCCCAGTTAAACAAACTATCAAGATCATCTTTCTGCTACACTTTATTTGACGCATCCTTAAACTGTATCACAAACTTTCGTGTTATTGGAATACATGGAGCACACGCTTGACACTACTTATGGCAGTACTTACTTTTATTAACAGCATCGTTAATAAAATCAACGAACAAAACAGGCCCAGGAACGCATCCATGTGGCACTGTGCACTGTTGACCAATCGATGATATGGTTCCTTTAATACTGACACGTTGTGGTCTTCCTATATTATAAAACCTCTGATCTATTGGAGTACATTTCCGTCTATTCCCAAGACTTCACGTTACGCAACAGCCGCTCATGCGGAACACTGTCAAATGCTTTGGCAAAATCTAGGCACACTGCATCCACTGGCTCCCTTTCGTATAGCAGGCGAGTCCAATCGTTCAACGTAGACAAGAGGTTAGTGGTGCAGGATCTACCGGCAATAAAGTCACGTTGACAGTCTGATAGGAGATCATTAACAGCCAAGTGATCGATAATCCTATTTCTCACAACAGATTCCACTACCTTACAAAAAACACTAGTGAGACTGATAGGACAATAGTAACCGAGGCTACTATTGTCACGTTTTTTTAATAATGGTGTCACTTGGGCTTCTTTCCAATCGGCCTGCTAAGTACTTTCGCTCAAAGTTTTTTTTGAAAAATACTAACCCACTTGAACTCTCATTTCACCCTTTATAACTCTTATTTAACCCTCTACAACTCATTTATCCCTATTGAACTCTCATTTCACCCTTTTTAACTCTTATTAAACCCTCTCCAAAGTATTTAGGCCTCTACAACTCTTATTTAACCCTCTATAACGCTTATTTAACCATCTACAAATAATTTAACCCCTATAACTCTCATTTAACTCTCTATAACTCTTATTCACCCTTCTATAACTCATTTAAGCATCTATAACTCCTATTTAACCATCTATAACTCATTTAACCCCTAGAACTCTCATTTAAATCTCTGTAACTCTTATTTACCCATCTATAACCGCACTTAAGCCTCTATAAATCCTATTTAACCCTCTACAACTCATTTAACCCTCTGAACTCTCATTTTGCCCTTTAGGCTCATGGCTCCTAAAACCATTGAATGTTTAAGTCGAGCAATGAAGTGCTACGTTCAAACTAACTAGATATTCACCTCGAGGCCTCGTGCTTATCGAGCTTCTCGTTGTCAGAAGCGTCAGGGTGACGGGCGTTTAGTGCTGGAATGATCAATGCTGTCTCATTTCCGACACACAATACGACAGCAGCAAACAACTCTACACACAGGAAAATGAGTGAGACCGTACTAATAGCGATGCACTTTCTGCCTTTGTGTTGCAATGCACTTTTGCCTGTGTCATGCTGACTCAGTTTGGCCGAGCATTAGAGCAAATCTAAGTTACGTCGGCTCTTTGCTCGTGCTGAGGTGTGCCGTGATTTGTACAACACTACCCATACATTTCTGTGTGTGCAGCAGACAACTCTATACCCCAGCCATACTAATGAAGCTCCTACATCACTCAGCCTCTCGCTTCCAACACTGCGCTTTAATTCCCAGAACTGGCGCGCTATAACCTCTTTGCTTTGCAAGGCCTACAAACGCCCTACCAATTCAGACGACGGCAATCCATGGGCCCATTAGTCATGTGCATTTTTTTGCAATTCCATGAGTCTATTAGTCTTCGAAAATTTTCTAGTGTTGGCTTGTCGCAAAGCATTGCAGGAAAAATGCCTATAATATACATATGATCTAATCACTGTGATTAAGTTTGTTTAGCTTCATCGGGTTCAGTTTGCAGGTAAAGTTCTTAATTTAGACTTCATAATCATAACTTAGTTTCTCGTTTATTTTAATCACATCAAAGATTGATACTGAAAGTTTGGAACTTTTTGCTTATTCAGCACTACAGCAACAGCAGACACCACAGCAGCAGACAACGCAGCAGCAGACAACACAGCAGCAGACANTTAAGTCCTAATCTTTCCCTTCTTCTCTTCAAGTCCACAATCTTTTCCCGTCTCACAATCTTTTCCTCCCCTACTTAAGTCCCAATCTTTCCCTTCTTCTCTTCAAGTCCACAATCTTTCCCTTCTTCTCTTCAAGTCCCAATTTTTTCCCGTTTCACAATCTTTCCCTCCCCAACTTACGTCCCAATCTTTCCCTTCTTCTCTTCAAGACCACAATATTTCCCTTCTTCTCTTCAAGTCACAATCTTTTCCCGTCTCACAATCTTTCCCTCCCCTACTTAAGTCCCAATCTTTCCCTTCTTCTCTTCAAGTCCACAACCTTTACCTTCTTCTCTTCAAGTCCACAATCTTTCCCTTCTTTTCTTCAAGTCCCAATCTTTTTTCGTCTCACAATCTTTCCCTTCCCCACTACTTAAGTCCCAATTTTTCCCTTCTTCTCTTCAAGTCCACAATTTTTTCCCGTCTCACAATCTTTTCCTTCCCTACTTAAGTCCCAATCTTTCCCTTCTTCTCTTCAAGTCCACAATCTTTTCCCGGATCACAATCGTTCCCTCCCCCTACTTAAGTCCCAATCTTTCCCTTCTTCTCTTCAAGTCCCAATCTTTTCCCGTCTCACAATCTTTTCCTCCCCCTCGTCAAGTCCTTATCTTCCCCTTCTTCTCTTCAAGTCCCAATATTTTCCCGTCTCATAATCTTTTCCTCCCCCTACTTAAGTCCCAATCTTTCCATCCCTCCCTTCAAGTCCCAATCTTTCCCTTCTTTTCTTCAAGTCCCAATTTTTTCCCGTCTCACATTTTTTTCCATCCCTACTTAAGTCTCAATCTTTCCCTTCTTCTCTTCAAGTCCACAATCTATTCCCGTCTCACAATCTTTCCCTCCCCCTGCTTAAGACCCAATCTTTCCCTTCTTCTCTTCAAGTCCACAATCTTTCCCTTCTTCTCTTCAAGTCCCTATCTTTTCCCGTCTCACAATCTTTCCCTCCCCTCGTCAAGTCCCAATCTTTCCCTTCTTCTCTTCAAGTCCCAATCTTTTCCCGTCTCACAATCTTTCCCTCCCCCTACTTAAGTCCCAATCTTTCCCTTCTTCTCTTCAAGTCCACAATCTTTTCCCGTCTCACAATCTTTCCCTCCCCCNGTCTTTATTGTGTCTGGAATGAAACAGATGTTCCAAAACTGTTCTCTTGCTCTGCTCCGAAAATGTTCTCTTTAAAGCGTCACTGTTCGGCCAGAGTTCAATATGAAGACATCACGCTGCTCTGTTGGATGCAGTGAACTTTATGTTCAACAAATTGTTCATCACGATTGTTTTGGTCAAAAGCTTGAATCTCATGTTATGTTAAATTGCTTGTGAATTTTTTCAATAATCTTCCATTTCTAAATTAAATAACAGAAATTCTAATTTTATGGAGTCCAAATTCTACAACTCTCCTGCATTCAGTGCAATGAATGGATTATTGTGTACGTCAATAATAGTGCACATACTTATAGTACACACATACTGCATTACTCGATGAATGTATTTAATAACTTTTTAATATAAATGAGTAACATGATAAATATTATATTATTAAATAACCCATGTTTTGCACATAACATTTTCGTTAACTTAAAAACCTTGTCATTAATTTTCATTCCAATTTCGTCACATTTCAGACATTTCTAGAAAATGTCAAACATTTACAAGCAATTCCATAAAAATTTGATAAATTACGAACGTTTACATAAAATTTCAATAACGTTTCCATTACATTCTAAACACTTCCTGATACTCACACTTCGAAATTCAACTGCCTGAAATTATACGCATATTATACATGAGCGAAAATTAGTATTACATGGTTTTCTTTGGAACTTTCAGCAACTTTATTCGCATGTTAAGTTTTGTCTTGCGAGGTGTTCACTTAATCACCTATAAAACAATAAATTATAAGAAATATAGAACGAACACATGACCGTTATCGAATGATTAAAAATAATTATTTAAAATAATTAAAATGGGAAAGCCGAAGATTTGAAAAAGAAGGTGAGTCATTTGTAACTTTAATATGAGATTCGTTTAGAAATTAATTATTGATAACGATGAATGTTATTGCAAACGATTTTGTTCACAAGTTAAGTCTGAACGAAGAATTTGATGATGAAGAAGCTTGAATGAGAGCGTTGATCTCGATGATCAACAAAAAAGATCATTATTTTTGCTAACTCAAAGATTTTATTATTTTAACGTTATGTTTCACCTTATTTAAGTCTTATTTTGGGTGAGAGCTTAACTACACTTCATGCTTATAAACCGATATAATATTTCTGTCTATTTCTACCTATGGAAATTAGGCTTAAAAGCTCTCCGAGTAAGAAAAAAANATAATATTTTTGTCTATTTCTACCTATGGAATTAAATTAGGCTTAAAAGCTCTCCGAGTAAGAAAAATTTATTTTATTTCATGGGCTGAACCATAATGTGAAAGTGAAATAGATTTAAAGGTTCTCTGTGTAAGGAAAAAATTTTCTCCATGGGCTGAACCACAAAATGAAATAGATTAGCAGGACTTCCGAAAAGAAAATATCATGAATATTAATGTACATTTTAAGATTATGTACCAAAATGAAATAGATTAGTAGCACTTCCGAAATGAAAATATTATGAATATTAATGTACGTTTTAAGATTATGTACCAAAATGAAATAGATTAGCAGCCCTTCCCGAATGAAAATATCATGAATATTAATGTACGTTTTAAGATTATTAACCAGAAGTGTGGGTAATATTCAAGCTTGTTTAATGAAGCCAGCGGCGGTCAAACCAAACACTCGACGCTCAGTTGCCCGATCCAATTTATTTCGAGAGTTTGTCTGCTAAATTTTTCATTGGGCGACGAGGGTAAATATTTTCTCTCTTCATTAAGATAAAAGGATTTGTAATTAGTTATAATAAGTAGCATCAGGCGCAGGAAATATTAATAAATTTTTTGCTCGTGCATACAGAATTCTTTTCTGGGAAATTTTTATCGCACCGTGATTTTAGGCGATACGCTTTTAATAAATATTGTAATTTCCGACCATTCCGAACAATTTTCAAGACATTCAAAAGCTAAACATTCACTAGCAGAGACATGATGTTTTGAAAAGCTTATACAATAAAATCTCCGTCAATCAAAAGGCCACGCAACATTTTTTTAAATGCATTACTTGTCAATTAAAGTAAAATAATTAAATTAAATTTAAATTAATTAAATACATATAATATCACTGGCATTTATCCATGACTTGCATTTCGTGAACAGCGTTGATTAATATGCGAGAACAGAGCGTGGATGAACATGCGAGTGCATAGAAATATCTAAGTTATTTAATATTTTAAACTTAACATTAATTTCCTCCGTAAATATGTTTAATGAATCTCCGCATCCAACATTGGAAAAGTGAAGAGCACGGCAATCATTTGAACAATTTATAACATCGTTAACTTCACATCAATTTCATCAGTTCGTTTAGTGAACAGATTCAGTAAAGGAGAAGCTCTGCAATAACTCAGAATAAAATATCTCAGCTTCCTTCATATACTCAGAGAATTAAATGAGACTTAGTCCAAATTTCGATGCACTTCTAACATTTTGTGCGTCATCCTGACCCAGTTCAGCCCGGCAAAAGTGCTTTGTTAGTGCTAAGTCCGCTCCCTGCTTGTGCTATGTGATGAGAATGTGTCACTATTTTCATAACAATACCATTTATTCATGTGTATGAGATACTGCAATTTTTTTTTAACTAAATACTTTATCCAAACATTCTTCAGATCAAATCAATAGATTTTTTTCGTTTTAAGCGTGCTATGGGATGAGAATGCGTCACTATTTACATAGCAATACCATTTATTCATGTGTATGAGATACTGCAATTTTTTAGTTTAAAACTATGTATTTTATTCATGACAATACCATTCATTTATAAGTGTATCTAAGATGCGAAAATTTTTTTAGTTTAAAACTATATATTTTATTCAAACATTCTTCAGTCCAAATCAATAGGTTTTTTTCATTTTAAGCAAGTCCAGGGCGCTGTTCTTCACTCGGTGTTCTCGGACCATAAGAATGCAAATGGCCCGCCATAAATGTCTCCCTACAATTGCTATTTATTCGCAATATCGAAATGGAGCAGCAAATCCAGAGTACGAAATGCAGTGCATGGAGAGATTTGTGGTACTTATCTGTCGTAAATTGTGATACTAATTCTCCTGGGCCTATACTTTCAAAAAAGTTAAGAGATCTTAAGTTCATCAGCCAATCATTGACGGCCTTTCCAGCAAAATCCACCAA